CCCGAAGGGAAGCCCTGCGCGCGCGCCTGCCCAGGGAGCCAACCCTCCCACCCACGCAGGGAAGCCGCGCATGCGCCTGCCCCGCAGCCAGCACCGCCCCCTCCCCTCCGTGCAGGAAAGCCCCGCGCGAAAAACCTGCCCCAGGGCCAACCCCCCGCGCCTGCCGGAAACCCTCTGCGCGCCTCCTGACTCACCCTCCTGTGCGGTGCAGGGGGCCGGCAGAGCAGCTAGCGCACTTCTGGCATTGCCAGAAGTGGCGCTAAGCCGCGGGACTTCTAAATCTGACACTACCTCTTGAGGTAAGTAGTGGGGCTTCTGGGGGGTCGGAGGGAAATGGGGGCAAGGCGGACAGGACGCCTCGCGAGCTACTGGTCGAGGCCTCGAGATCGACCAGTAGCTCGCGATCGACCTGTTGGTGACCACGGCTGTACAGACTTCTCCACAGTGCCTCAACAATCTCACCTATGTCCCAGAGGACCACCCCTAAGCATAGAACTGTAGTCCAATATCAACATATTCAGCCTTTGGCTATTCATATGAGATAGCCAACAAGTATAAGTTTATGAGGGTGCTTTTGGACATATAAGCTCCTGATCACTAGACTCTAGGTGAGATGACATGAGAGCCACCAAATGGTAAGAAGTCCTTTTCTCACTACTGACCTGAATGAGAACAGATTACTTAAATTCTGGGTCACATTTACTCGTTCTGTAAACAATCCGGTTAATTCTCCTTCCTGCACCCTTATTTTCAATAGTTTTTAAATCAAGAAAGCCAAGAACTGACAAAGTATCATAATAAGAAAAACAATTATTTCACAAATTTGCACTATTACCTTTTCACATGATAAGTGCAAAAGCAATAAATACAGGCGACCCCTGCACTTACACAGCTGTTTGTTGGTCCATACTGTACCCTGGGTAATACAGGCAACCCCTGCATTTACAACCTAATTAGTTCCTGGAGAACAGTCATAAGTCGAGCCGTAGTAAGTCGAACACTTATTTCCCATAGGCGTAATGTTATAAATGGTGTTTCTATTCCTGGAAACCCATTTCATATCCTAAAAATACCAAAATTGACTACGGAAATGGAGAAAAACTAAACTAAATAGTTCAAATAATTCACAAAAATAACTAAAAAGTGAAGACTGATGTGGTAGAGATGCAGTTCAAGCAGCAGCTGCAGACTGGCAAGTCTGACTGACCTTGTGCATTTCCTGTTTTGGCATTTCCATGATGCGTAGAGTCTGTCATACGCCCTAGTAAATGCGAGCTGCTACATATATTGGGGGTTTTTTAGGAGCTATCTTGCATGAAAAAAATGGTTGTAAATGTGGGGGATCGTGAGTCAGGCAGTCGTAAGTCAGGGGTCGCCTGTATTACCTAAATTTCTTTGATATTGTGAAACTTTACCTTTAAATAGTCACAACTACAATACACATTCTACTTAATGTTCAGGTTGCATAAAAAGAAAGTGAATAAAGTGAAAGGTTAAAAGGAATGAAAAGTTAACAAACCAGTATCAGAAAAGGAGCCTTTACCAGATAAAAATGGGGTTTTTGACAAGCCATAAATACCAAGCAGTAATAACACAAGGAGAAAAAGACGTGTTCGTCTTAAGGAATCTGTAAAAGAAACAAAAATATTTTAAAGATGATGAAATAAACTACTTTCCAAACAACAAAATGTGATGGTATTAAGTTAAAGCAACTTACCATTTGTTCTTTGCGTAAGAGCCTGTGCTTTCAAAAAGCCCTCAGCAAAACCAGTTTTAAATGCATCTTGATGAGCTTCAGGTACATTTTTTGTTTTCATTAGCTTTTCTAAGCTTTCAACATCAGATCCTCTGTCTCTCAAAAGGAGTCCCTAAACATACATTGCATACTCATATTACTTCGTATTCATTTTTATATCGAACCAATTTTTATGAATAATAGTGAATTGGGTTCCTGACCTATCTGTAAGTTTTTCAGGAAGAAACTGTCCGAACACTAGTAATATTGTTTTCAGTGTATACAATGTTATAAAATAGAACCTCAAAGTTACAAACATCTTGGGAATGTTACTGTGAAAAAGGTTATTGTTCTTCTTTCAAAAGTTTACAATTGAACATTAGCAACACAGCTTTGAAACTTAACTATGCAGAAGAAAAATGTTGCTTTTAACCGTCTTAATTTAAATGAAACAAACACAAAGTTTCCATACCTTGCCAAATCTATTTTCCTTTCTTTGTTGTTTCAGCAGTTTACATTTAACACAGCATTGTGGGGAGGAGGGATACTTTTGTTTTGTTTTGTGTGAGTCTGCTGCCTGACTGTATACTTCTCATTCCAAATGAGGTTGACCTGTCATTTTGTAACTCTCGTATTTGTAACTGAGGTTCTATTGTATGGAGCATACATGACCGAATAGCTATTCCAATAACATTTTCTGGCTACTCCAAGATCTAGGTCATTGGATTTACTGCATTAGATTTCTGCAAGTTGTCTTTCTGGGTCAAAGCTACCTCCGGTTCATATCAATATGCTACAACATTAAAAGAACATCAGTCACCAAAGCAGCTATTCTTAAAATAGCAGTCATGTTAGAAGTTAAACCACTCACTGAAGTTCTGTTTATAAGTGCTTCACTGGTCTCCAAAATTACTTTTGAAATAACTTACAAAAGTAAGTTAGAAGAATGATTTTTTAAAATTAAAAATGTACTCTTCTAGGTTTTCCACCTTATATCTTTACAAGAATTAGTGATTTTGGGATCCTAATAACAGCAATAAATAAATCAACTCCTGGGTGCAGGATTAAGGAGGGGGAAATAGAATACTTTGAGGTAGAATCCCTTTAATTTAAGATCTAAGAAGATTCTCCGATCAAAAATTGAGAACATTATTGATTATTCAGTAATGTAGTGTCATGACTTAAGTATTAAATTTCTTCACAGTAATCATGACCTCAAAATGTAGCTCTTTTTACTTGCCTTTACAAATGAAGGGGATACATTTTCTGTTTCTGCAAATCGTTCAGATGTTGACTGCAGACGTCTTGCTCTTGATTTCAAAGTCTTAAAACCCCGAGACTGTATGAAAACTTAAACAAACGCACTTTCCTTTAATACAGTAATTCCTCATTTAACACTATAGATATGTTTCAGAAAATTATCATGTTAAGTGAAAATGTGTTATGCGGGGTCAATTTTCCCATTGAAAGTAACAGAAAAGGTGGGGGTTGCTTTTCAAGTGGTGGTGTCTGCTGGGACCAGGACATAAGGTTGGGGGAGAAAGGAGACTGGGTTACAGCAGAGAGGGGAGGTGTTTGGCTCTGTGGAAGGGGAGGGAGATTGGGTTGGGAGTATGCCCCTGTGACTGGTCTGCCGGGACCCGTGCTGTGTCTGACAAAGGAGGGTCGCCGGGGAACAGCGCGGCCAGCAGCAAACCTTCCGCTGCTTTGCAGGGAGGTGGGGGAAGCCCTGTGCAGCTGCTGGCAACAGGCCGGCTGGGGAAATCGTGTTATTCCGGGGACGACAGTCATGTAATTAAAAAAAAAAGTTCCCTAAAAAAGAAATCGTGCTATCATGAAAACATGTTAAGTGGGCATGTGTTAAATGAGGAATTACTGTATGTTTCCTTAGAGAAGAGAAGGAATAAGGTTTATCAAATCAAGATTTCATAATTTTTGTAGAGTCTTCCTCCATCTTATTTCTCCAAAGTGTCTTATAAATGACACTTTATTAATATTTATACAATAATATATATAGGCAACTATACTAAAAAATGCTAGGTGACAAGAGTAAAACACCAGTGATTTCAATTAGTCTTAAGGTTTCATTTGAGCCTTTAAATTATTAAACTCACTTCAACAAAAACTCTTGCATCTCAAGTTTCCCATTTAGTACTGAAGTTCTTCTGAATCCCCTCCACATGCATATTAAAATGGACAACAATCTTATATAAAATCAAAGGAGAGTGATGCTATTCTCACTTTAAAGCTCACTAGTACGGATGTCAGATTGAATTTACTTATTTGACTCAAAAGATGAAGGGACAAACATACTCCTTCACCAACCTCACTTAATTTCACACCTTAAAGCAAGATCTACTAATGATAACTTACTGACATTACCAAGAAACCATGTTGATTGCCTACAGATCTCTTCAGATTTACTAGCCCAAAATCTTTCAAGACTGTAGGGCACTTAAGATGACTTTTTAAAATGCAAAGAACTAAATTCCAGTAAGTCTGCCAAAATGTGCTGAATACCCCCATTACTGTAGAATTTCCCAGAGGAAAAACACATTATATAAGTTAAAAACAAGTACAATTCCTTGATTCTTACCTGGCCAGCGCTGAAGGTCTGAGCACAAACTCTGGAGGGGACTAGGATGTTGTCTATACAAGTAAGAGGAGCGCAAAGCACTAAATACATCCATGAAGCCTAGAAAAAACAGTCCAACATCATAAGCATGATTTCCATTTTTGATAACATTACTTTGAAGACAGGGCTACAGGTTTGTAGGCATTACAGAAAAAATATTTAAATGAATTAAATATTGGCCAGCTCCCAGAGCCAGCTGCACTGCGAGCTGTAATCACTCGGGTTTTTTAACAGTTATACTGTTACTTTTAAAAAACCTTTTAAATCCTTATCTGCTATATTTTAAATGCTGAAAAGTCCTTCAGACTAAAAGGGAGGGCCTTTATCTAGACCAGACGTGGGCAAGAAGTGGCTAGTGGGCGGCCCACAGCCACCTTGTCAGAATCCTAATGCACAGAACAGCTCATGCTTTAAGAAGCTGGCTGCTCTGGACACTGGGAACAAAGAAGAGAGGCTCTGCAACCTGCCCCGCCCCCAACAAAATCTCTGCTCTCATTGGCAATTTCTAACCAACAGGAACACAGAAACATTGCTGGGGTCAGGGGCAACATGTGAAACTTCCCTCCCTCCCTCGCCTTCCCTTCCCTCACTGACCAGCCTGGGCCTATAGCAAACAGACTGCCTCAAGTTCCTGCAGGACTCCTGGCTGGGAGCCACCTAAATAAGTGCTTCCCAGCCAGATCCCCTCTCTGGCATCTCACCCCCTTTCCTCAAGTACCTGTCCTAGGCCACCACCCAAACCATCTGCACCCCCTTCTCCTAGGTCACAACTCCCACCTAGAGCCCCTCACCCAGCCAGAATCCTCTCCTGCACCCCAGGCTCCTACCCTAGCTCCCTTCTGTACCCAACCTCTGTCCAAGAACCCCATACTCCCTCCAAATAAGTATGGCCCTTGACCACTTGCCAAGATCTTGGGAGTGTGTCCCTCCCACATTAAAAATTATTGCCCATCCCTGATCTAGACTGACATCAAATTCAAAGACAGATACACTGGTAGTTACACTTAGATTCGTGACTGGAAGGAGAAAATAACTGGTAACAAACTAGCAGCTCAGACCAGGCATCAGATAAGAGGGCTGTATTTCCATCAGTATCAAGTTCATAAAATCGGATACTAAGTCTCACAATCTGATTGGAACACTGAGTATGACTGGAAATACACTACAAAATGTACAACAAATTCAAAAGAAAACTCTACAAATGGTCTGTACAGCAAATATGATACAGATATTCTTATTGTTCTCTTCTAATGGGCAACTCCAACAGTTTGTTTCAAACCACAATGTAAGGAATTGTATAAAATAATTAGCTATTGTTTCAAATTGAAAATTTAAGTGTGATAGGTTTCACTAATCCTGTTTTTATTTTTTGGGGGGTGATAATATTGGCATATTGTGACGTAGTGGGGGTACCTGGCTGGTTTCTATGCTGCTGGCTCTGGGGTAACCCCCACTGGCTGCCACGACCCAGCAAAACAGGATGAGTCACTATGCAAACCAGTGGCCAGACACCCCCCATGGAGAGGAACAAAGGAAGGAGGAATGCTGCCCTGGCTGGGGGGCAGGGCTGGCAGAGAGTTAGTTAGTTGCTGGCTGTCTGGGAGCATGGAGGAGACAGCCTAGGGAAAGGGGCTGGAGTTTAGGGGCCCCGTCTCCCCCATCTCAAGGGGGCCTGAGGCATCCTAGCCCAGCTCTGTGACCAAATTACATCTGTGCTGTATCCTGGAGAGGCAATAAACTTCCTCTATTCCACCGGCTGGTGCAGTCTGTTTGTGCCATTTCGGGGTGCAGGAGACGGGGGACCCCAACGCGCCGTCACACATATCACCTCGAAACATACCATGTTTATTTTCAAAGAAGGACTGTGCAGAGATATAGGATGTATGCCACTGAGAAGAGATTTTGTTTTCTGTAGAATAGCCAGGAAGCAACCTGTTCATTAGTTCATCGAGCTGGCTAGCTTTCAAGTCAGAAAATCCCAGGTCTCTCAGATTCAGCACAGGCTGTAAAGCAATAACAGAAGTAATCAAATATTTAGCAACATCAGATCACCCAGGAAAAAAACCTCTGCTAAGAAACGGTAGAGCTTCAACTATCAGATTTTTAAAGTAGTAAGAACTCTTTCTCTTTCAATTGGGCCATCAACTCTAAAGCCTATTTTAGTGCTCATGTTAACTATTTAATCATTGATAGTTTTAGTAAGCAGAAAGGGAGCAGGACTGAAACCCATTACATGGAGAAGTAGGAGTTGCTGCAAGGAAATGAATGTAGAGAACACAGGAAACTCACAAGAGGGAAATCAGGAAAGAAACAGAGGAGGAAGAAAGAAGAGAAAAGGGACAAAAATAAGAGTGGGATTAAAAATGAGTAGATGTCTGAGTGACAGATGGGAACGATGCATCGAACAAAAGATAAACAAGTCAATGTTTAGTTACTCCATTCAGATTACATTGTTTCCTTACAAGCTTCCTACTGACATAAGTGGGCACCATGATGGGCAAGGCTCGCCAAACGGCGGTGGGCCCTGCTCGCCAGCCGCGCAGTTCTGCATTCTGTGCATGCGCAGATCACTCTGCGCTGGCTCTTCCAGGTGAGTAGATTACATTGTTTGTCGAGCCCTGATGATGGGCATTGTACAATGTACATAGTCCTAAATTTATACTATGGTACATGGACAAGATGTTATGAACAATGAGACTTTGCCACTTTTCAGAGTTTTACCCTTTGTGATATCCGTATTGCTGATTCTATGTTCTTATTCTAGATTTTGTCAATATTACTTTGAAGAGAGGACTAGAGGTTTGCAGGCATCACAGAAAGTGTTGTAATGACTTAAGAGAGAAAGCACAGTGGACAAGAACAGGAAGGAGGTTCCAGATAAGAATGTTTATCCATTTCACATTTTTTAAATGCTGATCACTTATTAAAATTTGTCTGCTTTTAGGGACGTTAAAAAAGCAGGTAACTGGGTAACCATGTAACTACTGGAAATTTCAGTGGTTATATACTCCCACAGCACAGCACAGCAGCCAGCTCCCAGGAGCCCGTGCATGCTGGAAGCCAGCTTTTAAGCCAGCTCTTAAAGCACACTGGCTCCTGCCTGCAGTCCCGTTCCCAGGCAGCCAACTGCCATCCTGCACTGCTGCCTCTGTATCATAGGCAACAGCACAACGTAGCAGCCAGCTCCCCAGGAGCTGTTGTGCACCTGAAGCCGGCTTTCAAGTCGGCTCCTGACACATATGGTTCCCAGACCTGCTCTAAGGATGTTAAAATGTGGTTAATTGACTAGTTAATAGGCACTTCCGCATTCATCCTTTGAAATGTACAAGAGCCTCTGATTGGGCTCTTGTACATTTTGAAGGAGGAATGTGGAACTCTGTGTACAGCCCGAGGCCAGCGGGAAGTCCTGCTGACTCCTGGCTGCACGCAGAGTGCCTGCTTTGAAATGCACAAGAGTCTCCAGCAGGAGTTCTTGTGTGTTTCAAAGCCATGGAGACCAGGAAGAGTGGAGGACTCAGTCCCCTGCTGACCCCGGGCTCCATGTTACACAGCACGCCGCTAGGAGCCCGGGGTCAACTGGGGACTCCCCAGCTGACCCCAGGCTCCCCATGGCATTTCTCCTGAACCTAGGATCAGTTGGGGAGTCCCCAGCTGACCCTGGGTTCCTGGGAAGTGCTGCGCAGAACCGGGGTCAGCTGGGGAGTCCCCAGTTCCCCTTTAAAACGGGCAGAGGAGGCAGTTTCAAGGGGGAAGCTGCCACACAGCTGATCAGCTGACCCCAGGCTACAGGGCTGCTCCTTTGAAAGGCGCACAGGCAGCATTTTAAAGGGGCAGCCGCTGCACAGCTGATCCATAGAACCAGCAAAGAGGGGGAGAGGGGAGATATCAACTAGTCAAAATACTATCCAATAAGTAAATGCTTATCAGATAGTCGACTAGTCTTTTACATCCTTAGCTTGCTCCTGTGCTACTCCAAGGGAGCCAACTGCCACTCTGTGCTGCTGGCTCTGCTACAGAGCTAGCAGCACAAAGCGGTATCTGGCTTCCCAGGAGTTGGGCGGGAGCCTGCATATAACTATTCATGGTAATCAGTAAGCCCAAGCTTATTGGTTAACCATTCAAACAGTTATCAAGTTAAGTCCCTACTTCTAATTACAGCACCTAGCTAGAACAGTAATAAGCATAACCTCAATGGCCATATATAAAAATAAACTACACATTTTTCATTATACAAAAACATGGTGGCATTTAAAAATTATTTCTTTAAAGTATGGTCTCTTATTCTAATACATGGAATCCACAGAATATTTACATCAAACATATCACACTAGCTGTAAGATAGCAAATCTTACAATATTTTAAATGATACATCATCAGGCCTTATTTAAATATAAATATAATCCTTAGTCTTTCCAAAATTCTTATTACCTCACTGCTTTGAACATCATGTTCTGGGGCTGTATCCCTCTGTAGAGGCTGAATAGATGCTGTACTGACAGAAGTAGCTGAGGTTTTTGGTGAATGGAAGGCATTGATGAGGTGACTCAGAGGAACTGTAACCTGGCAGAAATTAAAGATTAATGTAATCACATTAATTTAAAGTAATGCCACAAAATTAAATACTGAAGAGAAAATTCATGTCTCTCAAATATCTAAAAATATCCTAATCACAGATACTGTATAAAATTATATAGTCTTCTGCACTGCCTTCCAAGTTAAGTTCTTATAATGCTTTTTGAACTTTGCTCAATGGGTATATAGGATAGGGATGTCAAATTTAGCTTAATCAACTAATGGACTAGTCAATGGATTTTCCATTGACTAGCTGATAAGCAGGGGAGCTGCAGCAGGGTTAGCTTCTGGCCCAGGAACTAACCTGCTGCGGCTCTGTCTTTTAAATGTATTAAGAGACTATTGGCGCTTAATACATTTAAAAGGATGGTGCACAGCCGGGCATCAGCTGTCCCATTCATGTAGTGTGCCCCTCGCCTCGATGTGTTTTAGCCTTTTAAATGTATTAAGAGCTGGAATACATTAATACATTTAATACATTTAAAAGGCTCAAGTGCAGCAGGGGACTGGATGCGAGCCGGGAATCAGCTGTCCCAGCTCAAACTGAGTCCCTCCTGCTCAGTCCCAGCTTGTGCCACCCCAGGGAGCTAGCCTCCTTATCGACTAATCAAGTATTCAATGGAAATTCCTAACTACTCAGTTAGCTTATTAACCACTACTTAATATTCCTAATTAGAGTAGGTATCTCTTTAGAAACTCATTTTAAATCTACTTGTATATACTTGTATATTTAGAAGTCTTGGATTTAGAAAACACCATAAAGATGACACAGGAAAGTGAAAACATCTCCTAGTAAGGCACACAATCCTCTTTCTTAAAGATCTATTTTTGCAAGATTCTGTCTAATTCTGCCCCCAATAAAGTGAGAGCAATTGCAAAGCTTTTTTGGGTTTCAGCTGCACAAATCAGTTTCCCTGAAGACCTACTGTAATTTAACGTATGCTGTTAAATTCTTTAACTTCATTATTTTTGGAACACACTTTGAGACTAATCTAGACGATTGTACCTCACCACTTTATGGTCACAGAGCACAGCCAAAATGTGATAGTTTGTACATTCGATGTTTGATGTATCCCTACTACCAACTTGGTTGTTCAGAATTGTTATGTGGTTTCTTGTAAATGTGCATAGTCCGCCAGTATGATACCTAGGCAAGGCACAACCAATTAATGGCATTGATTACTGGGACTAATATACACATAGGTATCCCTGTTCCTAAGCTAGAATAGTCTCAGTGGCCTAATCCATTATTTGGTCCCACCCTACCTGAGGATCCATGCTGTGCCCTCACAGTTAAATATGACTGCAGAGCATGGTTAAAAGAACTGGGATAGAATAGGCCAACTGCTGCCATACACAGGTGACAGTGCCCCAGGAAATAAGTAGCTCACAGTAGATTGTCAGATGAAGAAGCAACTGCCAGTTTAAAAATAATACTTCTGATTTTTTCCAGTATTACTATACCAATTAAGATTAGTGTAACTAAAAGAGTGGAGAAAAAATATTCTTCAGTTTCATTAAACACTGCTTGGTATAAAGTAAATTTCATTCTGTCCATAGTCAATTTCCTGTTTGAAAGTCTTTCATATAGCAACAGTGCAAAGATACAGCCAGTTTGCAAGTTATGAACAGTCGACTTATGACCGTTCGTACTTATGACCAAATCTCTTCCAGCATTACTGTGAACCCTTAATAACTACTCTATGAGAACTATTATCCAGCCAGTTATGCACCCAACTTATAGTAGCCCCATCTAAGTTGTATTTTCCCTAGTTTATTGATAAGGAAGTCATGCAAAACCATATCAAATGCTTTACTAAAGTGTAGGTATACCACATCCATGGCTCCTCCCTTTTCCACAAGACTTCTTATCCTATGAAAGAAAGCTATCAGATTGGTTTGACATGATTTGTTCTTTATAAATCCATGCTGGCTGTTACATATCACCTTATTTATCTTCCAGATGTTTGCAGATGAATTCCTTACTTGCTCCATTATCTTCCCTGGCACAGAAGTTAAGCTGATTGGTCTGTAGTTTCCTGGGTTGTTCTTATTTCCCTTTTTATGGATGGACACTATATTTGCCCTTTTCCAGTCTTCTGCAATCTCTCCCGACTTCCATCACTTTTCAAAGATGACAGCTAAAGCCTCAGATATCTCCTCTATCAGTTCTTTGAGTATTCTAAAACATTTCAATCTGGCCCATGAGGCTTGGGGCTCCCCCACAGCCTCTGCAGTGGGAAGCCAGCATTGGCGCTCCAACCATGCAGGGGATGGGAGAGCAGGACTGCAGCATCAGAGAAGGCTCCCTACTGCAGGGTGGGGGTGAGCTCCAAGCCCTGCAGCTCACCTGTAAGACAATGGCAGACCACTAGTGGTCTGTGGACCACTCCAAGAACCACTGCTCTAGAACAGAGGTCTATTAAATCAGGATTTGGATGAATCCCAGAGCACAACAGTTTGCCACTATGTATTATTCTTCAAATACAATATATGGAGGATAAAAACAGTGATGTGTGTGTCATGGAAGATAATCTAAATTAGGGCTGTCAATTGATGTGCATTAACGCCTGCGATTAACACAAGGCAGGATTAACACGTTAATTTTTTAACACGTTAATTGCAAGCATTAATGCTGTGCTGGCCCTTTGAAGTGCCACCTTGCAGCTGGACACTCCAACTGATCCTGGGCTCCTGCGGTGCTGCCCCTTTGAAATGCTGCCGCAGCGTTTCAAAGGGGCAGGAAATGTGATTAATCGCAAAATTAATTTTTTTTAATCGCTTGACAGCCCTAATTTAAATATTTTATTTGCATAGAGAAAATTCAACATTGCTTAACAAATATAGGCATTTATCTCAAAATTCACTAGAGTTTTAGATTTCACTAAGGTTCTATACCAGCCGTGGCCAACCCGCAGCTCTTCCTCCCCAAAAGTGCAGCTCACAAAGCTGCTCCTGCGCGCCACCCCCACCCCCCGGCTTCCCTGTGCTCACTGGTCGGCAATTCAAAATGGTGGCCATCAATGGGCACCTGATATGGCCAAAAAGCCTAAGCTTGCTCCTTAAAGGGGCAGCCTCTCTCTCCCTTTTTTTTTTGGGGGGGGG